AAAAAAAAAGACATTTTGTTTTTTATTTCCGTTAGTACCAAATAAAACTGTGGGGTCAATAACACAGATATTAAAGGGAATGGACATTATTCCCATGATCCTTAATCCTTGTGTTTCTGTCCATCATCATTTCTCAGCCAAGACTGGTAATATTGGAGCGCCCACCAGGAGGTGCCACGATGCGGTGGCCAGTACGACGTGGGTTGTTGTCATCAATCTGAGCTCCTGCAGCAACAGAAAATGAGGAAACAAAGCTATGAAAGGGATTAAACCACCAGTAGTGAGGTTTTACCTGGCTATGCTTCCCTCCCACCACTATCAGCTAGTTTCTCTTGAGCCTGACTGAAGTGCTGAACAGACCTTCAAGGTACATTTCTGTCTTTTGTGAGGAGAGGGGGATTATATGCTTAGGATCAGACTAATGTTCACCTTACATGGAGAATTGTTTTCCACTGACTTGAAGGGACTTTTCAAACCTGCCTCACTGATTTAGGATATATGTCCCTACTGAGTCTATGGGACAACAGTTCAGTAAATCTGATGTTAACAATCATAAATCCATGAGGAAATGAGCTGATGTAAACTTCACACTGCATTTTAAATGCTGAAAGTTTAAGCTTAAGGAGACAGCAAGCTTTCTGACAGGCTAAGTATTGTCTGATCACACTCAATTTCCTAAAGGCAATGTAATAAATGTGTGGGGCCATTTAAAATGTTACCATAGTTTCTACTTCTTAATCTTGCATTTGCATCATGCAGATCAAATTTTTACCACTAGATGCCTTGGTAGTACCCAGATCCATTACTGCACTGTGAAACCACACTTTCAGATGCTTATGAAAATTCCAATTATTGGTTATTACTAAGATGTGAACTTTCTAAGCACTTTTTTGTTTTGTATAGCTTCATATATATTTGTATATGTTCACCATGACCTCAAATGTATGGGCAAAAATATTTTTTAAAATATTTGCTCTCCTAGGACTTTCTTACACAAGTTTCATTTGGTTTCTGAAGAGAGGATCTGTAAAGTAGGAAGACTCCACCATCAGCTCCCAGAAGGGAGAAAAATGTTTTGGGCACCAAGAGCAGAGGATAAGAAATACTCCAATCTGCTTATGAACAACTTCTGCACATGGTTTACAACCATGGACAAGGACAGTTGAGGTTTCCATGTCTAGCAGTTGCTGGTGATGCAGCCTGTGAGATGTCTGAGACTCACAGGTTGCACCAGACCCAAGTCCCATCAGCTGTGCACACCACCAAGGGGTTTCAGTCCCATCAACCAGAGAACTCAGCTAATTGCAATAGGCCAGGTAAGTAATACTGAAAGACTGACACAGAGAAAATTTCAGGTTGAAAACATTTTGAATATTTGGCAATATGTAAAATATTGCTAGGCAATGAATGTGTAAAAACAAGTACATACATATATAAGTATATGCATGTATATGACTATATACAATCCTTTTATATTTGACTGAATAAGTAATTATAATTGAAATTCATCACCAGTAATGCATACTCATGACTTTAAAAGGTTTCTCATTAGTCAGGCTGACTTACCTGATAAGCTGAAATTGGATTGATGGAGGTTTCTGATTGGTGGGGGCTGGTTTTTGGCAGGGGAGGATTTAGTTGAGGGTGCAGGAGTTGCATATTTTGGTGTAGCTGGGATTTCATACACAGGTCCATCATACATTCCTCTGGAGACTCCTTGCAGTCCTCCTACCTAAAACAAGAGGAGAGTAAAAATCCAGACACTGAAAGCTCAGATAATACTGCCTAATGATCCTGTAGGAAGAGAACAGGGAGCCCAGAGCCCATTCTGCACTGGCTAAATTAACAACGCATCTACATTTCAAAGGGTAGTCTGCTTTATATATAAAGGAAATTATAAAGCTTGCTCCCTCCATTTATATCTATGCATAAATGACAAAAGAGTTCCTTATCAGGCTTCCTTCACAATCAAAGGGGAGAAGTGGGATTCGGAAGAACAGGTGTGACCTGTTTATTTTACATAAGATCAGTCACAATCACCTCTCTCCATTCAGCTGCTGAGTCACACTTGGGTTGTAGCACAACTGATACCTGCTATACCAACTGCAGCAATTTCTGTCCTACCTATATTTTCTCTGCTCCTCCCCTTCGTGAATCTCTTTCTCTGTATTAGAACTCATTGAAAAGGAGTGACAATTCTCAAATTAAATTTCAGAAGTTTCTACTTCCTGCCATCAACTAGAAAAGCAAGTGTACGCTGGACTGTGGCAGGGGGTCTATCTTAAAATATTTGTCAATAAAATATCTGTCATTTGAGCTCTGATTTCAGTTTGAGTTCTCTAGATTTTTACCCTGTATGGTTCTTAAAAGACCATTAGAAAATACAATCAAAACTTCACTGGCCTTAAAAGCATAGGAATCTAGGAAATAATATTTTAATAAGAACAGTTCCAGTTTTCAGAAAGAGCCTGAAGCCATTGAATTGCAGAATGCAGCGCTCATCAAAAAGATCAGAAATCTGTGTCTTAAAAGATTATGGTTTCAGAGAAATTTCCCCAACAGGTTAAAAGTGAAATTAAAATACTGTATAGAAAGACACTATTCACAGGGATTTGATCCAGCTCTCAAAGCAATCAGTGCATTTTCCTTGCTTTTGATGACAGGGACATCATGCTCAGAAGAGCCACTGTCTTGCAGGCTGAGCCAAAATTAATGCCCAGAAGAGAGTAGCTGCCAATCACAGCAATGAATCCATCTTCCAGGGACGCACAAAGACACGAATTTATACTGCTCCAGGGATAAGCTTATACTGCCAAGCTGTGCCAGTGCAGTTTTGCAGTCCCGTGCTTGACAAGTTTTTATATATTCTTCTGTTGTGCACGGACATGTTCATACAGCAGCTAATAAATTAGTTTTTCTGAATACTTCCAGTGAATAAAATTTGACAGTGGGAAAAGAAATTTGGGCATGAATCTGCTCTCCCTCTTGGCAGGCAGCAGAGGGAGCTGCAGGAGCAAAAATATCAGTCCCTTTGTCTGTTTGCAGACCTTGCCCAAGGATCAAAGGTCTCCCAAAATCTAGGCCCACTTTCAAGACACACGTGTTTTAATCTAGGTGATTTTGTTCAAATTCCTGCTACAAGAACTAATCTGTGATACTTGTTTCTAAACTGGTTTCACTATTTTGATGAATTTGTCATTATGTCGCACTCCCAGGCACTGAAGCCTTGATCAGTGAGTGTGAAGACAAGACCTGTATCATCTACATGGATAGTGCAAAAAAAATGCAACACTGATTGCTATGTTGCAAAATTTTTGTGGGTGCATTTGCTTTTTACAATGCCTTCTAAGAAGTGCAGGCCTTTCTTCTACAGCTTGATGGAATTTGCATAATAAATTATGAAAGATGAACACGATCAACCCATTTGTAGGCTTAATTTCAGCTGCCAGTATCACAGCCTATAGTATATGCTTGGCTGAAGAAAATACGAGGTTTAGCCAATTTTTATCATTACCTGTGCTCACACAGTGACTTTCCTGCTCACTGACAAGAAGCAATTTCCAAACATCTCCAGCCAATTGGTTTTCAACAGATAAGTACTGATAGATTCAAAACCAGAAGTGACCCAGAGGTGAAATCTTGGTCATTTCCCAAGCTTTTTATTAAACAAAAGTGAAAAGTTTTCTGAACCATTAATGCTGCTAATACACAGTTCAGCAAATGCACTAACACAAGTTCAGAAATGCCCAATATAATGAGAATCTCTGGCTGACAGGCTTTTCTTCTCTGCAGTGTAGCAGTTCAGCATGCAATTTAAAATTCTGTTTTTACTCTGCCTAACTCTCCATCACAAAAATCTTTCTCTATTCCTGAATTTTTAACTGAAAGTAAATTCTTTCACTATTCCTTCTCTCTTCAAAAGCTTTGACATACGGCATTGCTGGACATAAGGCAATTATGCCAACTGGCAATTATATGTTCTACCTGCTGAAGCTCACTGTGTTAATACTAAGTTAGATGATTTCACAATTGCAACCAGTTTTGTGGCAATTTTCTTGAGCAAGTCATATACATCCACCTGATATGGACTCATAATAGCACAACAATATTAAAAACAGATGCTACTGTGTTTCCAAGGGGGTTTGGCTACAAAGAAGATTCAACAGGATCTGACATTACCTTATTCCTGATTTTGATGCGCTGGTAAAGATACTCAGGGAAAGGTTTGCGAGGGATGAAGCGGCCCATTCCCTTATTGACGTGCAGATTTCCATCTTCAAACACAATCTTCCCTTGGCTTATGACCACGAGTGGGGCACCATGGCACTCCATTCCTTCAAAGATGTTGTACTCAATGGCCTGAGGATCAAGCAACACATTCACTGCCAAGACCTCCTTCCATTAGTAACTTATATTATGTACATTTGCAGTCATAGTTTTAGACAACTGCCATTAAGAAGTTTATAACTTGTATGAAGGAAAAACAATGCTTTTTGATATGAAAATATTTAAAGGATCTTTCTGATCAGACTTTCCTGGATGAGACATTCCCTTCCAGTTTTTCATTTTCCATCAAGGATTTCACTTGTTTTTGAAAATTTGCTGTATCTAACCAGAGCATTTAGAATAATGATAGCCCTTACAAGAAGGAAAATTATGACTCAGGTGTTGGATAACCAGAGGATGTGGTCCCACCATGCATCTGCTGTTACTGTGTAAGCAAATTTCAAAGAGGCTAGCACACATATTTCTGTCTGAAAAAGCCCAGAAAAGCCCAGGAAGGTCTGAATCTAAATGGGAATGACAGGGCAGGTGGTCATTACTTTCTTGAAAATACAGAGAGATCCCAGGATAGAGAAACAGTAACCGAATCACCCAAATTTACTTTTTAAATGTTTATAAATGTTTTGGTCTTTTAATATAAAAATGCAATACTGGGTTTTCAGTAAAACATTTGGAAAAATTCCCCAATACAAAGCACCAAAGCACTAAAGAGTAAGATAACAACTTTGGGATAGACAACACAAAACCTATCAGTCAAAATGAAAGCAACTGTCAGTCACTAGTACTCTGCACTGAGGGCAAAGAAACACATAGCAAATCTCTGGAATCAAACAGAAAATTCCATCCAGGAAGCCAATTAAAGCTGTATTATCAAAACATTTAATAGTCTGTCACAGTTTAGAATACTGTTAATTTAATAATGCAATTTATAATTTCAGGTGCTCTTTAGGTAAGAAAAAAAATAAGCTGGTTTTAAATTTATCCTTTAAATTTATCCTGAGCCTTATTAATCTCAGCTATGGAGCTGCTGATTCACATCTGTTTATAGGTCTGCCAGAAGCATGCAAAAAACAAATAGTGCAAGGGCCTATGCAGAGAGAAAATAAATTCTTCCTGATCACAATGCTTCCATCACAGGACTTCAATACTCTTGTGTCCTGAAACATTTACCCATTTCAGAACAGGGCTAGGCAGTTACCCCACTCCTCTGTGTCCTGGGCTATTGGTGTTCACATGATTTAGGTCAACAGCTGAAAATCAACAGTGACATTTCTTTTTTCATGCTGGTTTTCATTTCCTCCTTACCGATTTATGGCTTTTGGCTGTTATAGTCTTCACCTTATCAGGGTCCCAAATAACAACATCAGCATCGGATCCTACAGCAATCCGGCCTTTCCTTGGATATAGATTAAAGATTTTGGCAGCATTGGTGCTGGTGACAGCTACAAACTGACTCTCATCCATCTTGCCTGTGGCCTAAAAAACAATGTGATTTGAGCAAAACATGCTTATGAAATAAGGATTTACTATTCAGAGTACAGAAAAGTCAGGGTGATATTGGAAAACATCCCTTTAAAGATATGGTGATGTTGCATGAAACAGAGATTGTATCACACAGGACTTTATGCATAGCTCTTTAATTGGAAGTTTCAAAGAAATGAGTGTATTACTCCAGGCATTGCAAAGGACAGCCAGAGAAACCTTAGTGCACAGGATACCACCAAGGTGCTCAGCTATCTGGGAACCCTTTCTCTACACACTGAGGCCTAAGAGTTTTGTTGCTAGTTCTAGTAATTTCTATTTAAATAATTAAGCAGTTTTAAATCAGAGAAACTCATATGAGTGTTACAAGATATAACAAAAGATCCAGATTCCAAGACTTTTGGGAACACTTCTTGCAAATCAAGTCCATTCTATTATCATTATTGTCAGATCTATATGCCTAAGTAATAGAACCAATTATAAAGTCTTTGCCTGGAGAAATGTCATCACCAACAGAACTTTCCATACAGTAGGTGATGGTAATTTCTGCTGTACAGAACAGCATTTTGATTTCTCAGTAGAGTATTTTGGGATCTTCCCTGGCAACAAGCAAGAACAATGTTCTAAGGAAGAACAACAGTGCCCAACCTTTTAACATTAGATACACACTTATTTCCTGCCTGGTAAAATATAAGGTTTGTAAAGTATAAGCTACTCAGTGGTGCAGGACTGAATGTTAGCCACATGTAAATCCTGTGTTGCAGCCCTTCCTGCAGTTCCTTCCCATTGAGGGAGTAACAAAAGAAAATATCAGCAGCTTGCTTCCCTACATGGCAGGTATCTGAAGCTGCTTCTGTGCTTGGAATCTCAATAGCTGTCCCTGAGTAAAGTGGTTATGAAATAGAGTCTGGGAGAAGTGCTCATCAGAGCACTGTAAATACTGCCACTTCCCAGTCTGCAATGTGCATTCAAGCACCATGCAGTGAGAATGTGTGAGTGCGTAGGGTGTGCATGTGGGGACAGGCAATAGAGGGAGAGGATCATTATACATTAGAATCCATGGAACCAGCAGAAAATTCCTGACTTATACCAGCACTCCACTGCAAAGTATGCCAGGATGAGTTACTGCAACGCTCTCCTTCAAAGCATTTCATCATTTAGCCTCAGGCTCAGCTGCCATCCATTTGTAATTTTTCAAAAACGATGAAACACTTCCAAAATTCAAACAATTCATTCATCACGTTTATGTGAGGTCCACTTCAAAACCATTAAATTGCTCCAGATACCACATCTCTCAGAAGCATCCACTCTGACACTACGGGAAAATAGAGCAATGGAGTCTGGGAAGCCTCAGGTCTAATAAAACACAATACTATTGCAATGTCAGAAGTGAAACAAAGCCCTGAGTTTAAAAAACTGGAAGAGTCTTTTGAAATAAGCAATTCACCTCACAGTAGCATTCTCTCAGGGAATTCTCAGAAATATATCAGAAAGTCACTTAAGCAATGGCCAAGAGTCTCTTGACTTTCATTATTCAGCCAACACTCAATTTCTTTTTAGTCTATAAAAGTAAGTAATTACTTACTACAGCCTTGTCCCAGACAACAGTCATCCTTTCCTCAATTCCATTGACCCCTTCGGGAATCATAGTGAAGTTGTCCTTTCCAATGGCTTTCTGGGCAGTGCTATAGGGGCAATGTCCACTTCCCGTCACCTGCAGGTCCCCACTGTGGAGTTAACACACAGAAGGTTTAGACCAGGCATCACCAAGGTGACCTTGGTCTCAGACAGGCTGTGAATGGACCTTTTCAGACACCAGAGGCACAGGCTGTAAATCATGCCAGCAGCCTTTCTGCGCTGGCTACAGATCACTGAGAGAAACGATGGCACTGGACATCTCCACTTTCCCCCAGGAGCACCCTGAACTCCAGGATTGCAGCCCCCTCCAGCTCCAGGCTGCTTATCTACAGAGATCAGGCAAAAGCCCACTAACCAGGACAAAGGATTATTCCAGGATTAAGGAAATTATCAGAGGCTTGGATGAAATTTCTGCCACTCTCAAGATAAATTAATCCACAACCGCATTAAAAGATAATGGCAAATTTCACAGTACAAAGTCACGAGCTTCAAACGTATTCCCCTGCATTTCTCTCCTACACATGTATTTGTCTTACAAAACTTATATGAATACTTCTCACCTGACCTTTCAAAACAGAACCAAGAAAATAAAAATATTTTTATCAGGTAGTTTTCTAATTAAACAACAAATGGCATACTGCAAGTCACACACATACTCTGCATTTACCTAACTTAAGAGTCTTACACAGAAAAAGGCATGGAGAAAAATGTAAAAAGAGCTACCATTAATAATGCTTTTATTTAAGAGATTGGGTTTTTCAGCCTAGAGAATTTTTTTTTTTTTTTTGGCAGAGAGCAGAACTGGATCACAGCTGCTCCTGGAAATAAGGAAGAATATAATCAATATGCAGAATCTTGCCAAAATAGAAAGACAAAAACGGTTCTCCAAAATCCACAGGAAACATGATATTTTTAGCTCTTGACTAAACTTACAGAAGGCAGGCACATTAGAACTCACTATGATTTCCCTTCCATCACTCCGTAAGTCCCCAAGAGCCTGTTATCTTTAACTGATAATGCAAATTCCAGCTCTGAAACAAATGAATGATTCCGGTCTACAAATCTAGATCCAACAAGGTAGCAAATAGCCAAGTACAGAAGAAAAAAGTGTCACACATAAGTAATTCTAATGACATTTTTTAGGCTGTCAGCCCTAATGATTGCTGACAGAGGAGAGTCCTTGGCCTCTTTTCTGGTTCTTCACCTCACTCACAAGCCATCCATCCAGTCTTTAGCAGAAGCCGAACCCATGAATTCAGTACAGGAAAGGCTGCTGTGCTTCAGCTGCTCCTGATTATTAATGACTGCCTGGTTTTACTCCACAGGATTAAGCCAATTTCATCAGTTAAACGTTCATTTATTTTAACACAACAATAAAGTCAGAAGGTTGCAATGCCATTTCTTCCTTTCTGAGGCCCTTCTAATCAGCAAAGCTTCCTGTGGCATCTCTCCTTTCCACACGCTGATAAAGCCATGAGAAGCTGACTGTCACAGCCAGGCCTGATATCACTGCCCACTTCCCTGAGGTTATGCTGTGCCTTAACACCACATTACAAACTCCTACACCTGAAAGATAAGAAGGGTCTGCTTTCTTTACTCCATACTCCCTCTTCTCTGACATTTAATGACATTATTGATATGAACTCTACTCCCCAGTCAAATCAATAGAAGACTTCCGAAACTGAAGTGTGTCTCTTGAGATCTTCCCATCCCTGGTTAACCCATGAGCACTCCTACTGTCACATGGGGGATAAGCATTACATCAACTAAAAAACTGAGAGACAGAAAGGGATCATCATTAAATAAATGCCAGATCAATACCTTGTAAGCTCATTCTTCCCCTTAAACCAGGTTTTCATGGCAAATTGCATCATCTGTGTAGCACCAAGATCTCACATCTCTGGTTCACAAGAGGTGGCACATCACAGCTGCAGAAATGCAGCAGCACACCATGCAAGATCAAAGCTAACTCAAGTGCATGGCCCACAGATGACATAAGGCCCTAATCTCATGAGGCAAATTCAATCTGCAAATCCCATGAGACATGATGGGGTTTTACACATTCAGCTTTTCAGTGGAAAATCAACAAATCATATCATTCAGCTTTCTGTGGAAAAGAGCACAAGCAGTATGCTGCATGCTTGCAAAGGAAGGATGTTGTAGGGATTTTTTAATGAATGTAAAATATAGGTATCCAAATCAACAGTGCAATAGAAATGTGAAATACTGTCTTTACCATGATCCATGCACAAAATTTCCCATGAATGCAGAGCAGACTGATACAATATACAATTCTTAGTTTCACAGTATAGATTTAAAGTATTAAAACTGAAAGCAGGCTAAGCTGCTGTCATTTAAGATCTAGGACTTTAAGCGACTAGGAAAAAAGCCATTTTTGCATGCTTGTAGAATAATGAAAACTTCTGTAAGTCTATGGTTTGTCTTTCTGATGTTAGTTTTAAAAAGTTGTTATTTGGATTCCAATTCTAAAAATGTTCTTGCTTATCTGCTTTGACCCACATACTATTATTTTGGGACTCTCTTCTAGAAAGCATACATAGGCATGCTAACAGAGTGAGAAGTCAAACATTCTGATACATATTTACATGTGCTGGCTAAGAGCCTTACCCTCACACAGTGAGCCTCACCCTTTACAATGCTGATAGTGATGAATCAGACCAAGAAAGTAATTTTTTCTGAGTCTTTATTTGGAACAAGAAGCTCAGTTATGGAAAAACCATTTTTGCCATCAGACTGTCAGAAGAGAACTGCTCTGAATTCTTACCAGAACCACATGTAATTCAGAGCTCAGCTGCAGCATCTTTAGAGCAGCTGTGTTAAAGCCTGGGTGGGCTCTGGGCTGCACAGCCTGACCCATCATGTGCAAGGGGAGACGTGGCACTGGCTGATGGCATCCTCCTGTCACATGTGTGTGCCCACCCACCTCCAGGCAGCTGCTCTGAAGATGGTCACTGTCAAGTGTCAAATTTCACTGCTCTGTCTAGGGCACTGGAAACCCCAGACAGGGGAGGCCGGAGCTGAGGTGGGTGCCACCACATGAAGGTAAATAAGGATATGAATGGTAAGTTGAGTTCCTCACTCCAGCCCTAGGAATCTGTCCTGCTGGGGCTTCAGCTGTGAATTTCTATATCATTTCAGAGCAGATGGTCTTTTGCTTAAGCTAAAGAAGACCCACAGTTGGCTACAGGCAGGAAATACTTTCAGAGATGGTTTTACAGTCTGGGTTTCTGGCAAGGCATTGCTGATGTCTTCTTTTCTATATGAGAAAGACACTTCCTCTGCTGTCCACATTCCTTTCACCTACCTAGTGATTAAACTCTCTCTGCCAATCTGAAGGCAGCCAGCTCACATCCCTATCCTGTCAAGAGATGGCCTTCAGTCTCCAGCTGTCTCCACCCAAATCCCCCTGTTTCCTTTGTAATCCACTCTGGCCTCTTTCTCCTGACATACCTGCTGTACATGTACCACTTATCTTTGCCTTTTTCCAACTGGAGGATGCCAGAGCCCATAGAGACACAAAGCAAGCTAAAATAAGAAGCCTGCAAGAACTGGACACAACTTGTATGATTTTGGTCCCTCCCAGATGAAGGCAAACTACCAAGTCAGAACTTTTCAATATGCAGGAGATAAACTCACTGAACCATGCTACTAACACAAGTTAGTTTAGGACAAGACAATTTTCAGAACTCACAGCTGAGAGCCCTGCACCAGCTTTGACAAAAATTGCCCCAAGAAATTTTTCTGGTTCAAGGTATCTCTGCATTCAGGAACAGCCCTGATTTGTGGAGCTGTGCTTGTCAAATATGACTGGGGCTTAAAACTGAGTCCAGCCTCAAAGATGGCAATGTATCCACCAGGCTTTTGCTTATGCTGGACAGTGAGGATGCCATCCCATCATATATCAACAATTCAGCTGAAGAAAACTGAAAACCAGGGAGAAGGCCAGTTTGAAGTCCTGACAATCTAGTTGTACAACTAGGAATCACTTAAAAAGCAGAAAGAAAAAGAATTAATTCCTGAATAGCCAGCAATTGTCTCTATATCAAGCCAACCAGTAACTGGAGTGTCCATGACTGCTCACTTGACTGACAGCCTAAGCATAAGGATATAATCATCCCTGGTTTTCTGTGTCCTTTCTCTGCTGTTTCATGTATGAGACTGGTCTAAAGGAAACCAGGCTGATTCCTAGATGCTTCATGCCATATAGCTTTTGCACTTGCCTCACCATCATCCTGTTAAAAAAAAAGGAAGTCTTACCATGCTAAGAGTGAATTTAAGTGGTCTGGAGTAGTAGGGTCAGGGCTCAGAGGTGGTGAGGTCACAAAAGCTGCAGCCTTGGCCCAGTTTTTGCTCCAGTAATGTGTCCCATCTGTCCCCAAGCTGGCAGTGATCGGCTCTCCAAAAACAAGGGGACCTTGGAGAAAGCAAGGATATACAGGAACTAAGTACAGCCCACCCTCTCTTCAGCACATGACACTGCTTGCTGCATGCAGCCATGTATAATTCACACATTGCTACATGGCTAGCACAGCTCCCAGGAAATTAAACAGCCCTGACTTTGTCTGTATGATAAAAAATTAATCAGGAGTCTGTCTGAGCTCTACATGCTTTTGATCAGCCTATTTACAAATCTTTCTTTCCAAGCCAGAAGGAGACAGTTCAGACCCACTTTTAATTTGTACTGTTTTAATCACAGCCATGTTGCTCCAATTTGGAGTGCACTGGATGGTGGATCACTTCAGCAGGCAGATGCCTTTTTACTACTCCCAGGTTGGGCATAGCACCAGCAGACAGCAGCATATGGTCCCCTGCACCACACTCCAAGTCTCCAAGAATACAAACATCAAGACAATAATTTGCTCTTTGGCTTTTCCATATTGCTCAGAAGCTTTGTAGTCCCAACCAGCAGAACAGTTCTGATTTGCAAACGCAGCTTCAGAAACAGCTGCCTTCGGGCTCACGCAGCCCTTTTGCTTTGTAACCTGGTTACAGCAAGCAGGCTGACCTGCAGGACACATCAGAGGGGGGTCAGCTTCCAGCAGCAAGGCCAGGAGCGAGCTCTGAGCATCTGTAGCAGGAGGGTCACTGCCCAAGCCACACCTCAGAAAAGCTGAAATACTGGCATGGAGGATGTGCCATTAGGAATAAATTATCTCGCTTCTATGAACAGAGATATAGCAGTCTAAGAGAAAAGTAAAAGGGAAAAAAGGATAGAGAAGAGTCACAATTCAGTCTTCGAGAGTACAGTTTGTGGGGAGAGCTTCTCAGCTTAAAAATATAAAAGGAAAGGATTTCAACTCATCCTTCCCAGCCACAAATATTTAGTCTGCAATGGTGCTACCATTCTTTGATAACCTCTCCCTATAGCCTGCCATTTGGGTCCAGACATACAGGTTTTTCACTGAGCTTCTATTCAACAAAAAAAAAAGTTTGGGGAAGCAAAGGAAGTCACTTACCTCTCTTCCTGGCCATTGCAATGATATCAGCTGCACTCTTACTCATCACCTTGGTGATGTACACTGGGCAGTTTATTCGACTGGCAATCGTGATGGCACGGAAAACTGCTTCTGCTTCAAGCTGAGAAAAACAAGGAGTGAAGAGTTAACTGCAAATGCAGTCTAAAGAAAAAATCAGCTGGAGGACTGTGCCATACTTCTAACTGTTCAGCAACAACTCTTCAGGGGTTGATTCTGCTTTTTCCATAGAGAGAAACAGTGCTGGGAAACAGGGAGCTAACCCAACCTCAAACACTTGGCACTAGCAGTAACCACAGCCAGGCTGTACTCACTAGCAGGGTACAGCTGCCCCAGTACCAACACAGCCCCCTGGCTCCCTGCACCCAGGAAAGGTCATGTCCAAGCAGCTGATGCAGCTTCTCCCACCTTCCTGTTTAAGACTCCTACCCTGCAGCTGAAAGGAGAACAAAGCAAGAAAACTTTGACTCTACTTGAAGACAACCTCTGAGCTCCCCCAGAAGCTTTCCCTAATCTTTCCATAATGGTGACAGTGAATGTAAAGAATTCTCAAACAGCAACTTCAGCACTATGGACTGAATTTAGCCTATAATCCACAGAAGCCTTTGAAGCAGTGCCCAGTAAGTCCCCTCTGTCTGCAAGCGTAAAGGCAATCTCCTCCCAGGGAGCCATCTGGGACGTAGGCACACAAAGGAGCATCTTCAGATGGAGGAGCAGTGTTTCTCAGCAGCTCTGGAGACTCCTTCCCCCAGCCATCAGTTTTATACCAGATCCTTCCCAGATGGACTCACAGTATTGGCATTTTAATATGAAAAACTCTGTTGTAACTGAAAATAGTGACTCAGTGGTAGAGAAATTTCTGTGCAAGATTTTTTCTAGAAAAGTTGAGCTTCTTAGACCTTCCAAAATCACATGGCTTAATCCTTCAGCGTTTTGTAAAATATTTTTCCTTTAATCAGACTGCTTCAGTTTGTCCTAGAACTTGTATCAAAACTTGTATTTTCTCTGGAAACCCCAAATGCACATTTGGAGAGCACAGAAGGAGGCATGGCCTCTGCACTGCAGCACTAGAGTAGAGCAAAATTCTTTTCTGGAAACTGCAAATGCAGATTTTCCTTAGGCCCTTGTTCTCATTAAATGGAAACAACTCAATCCTTTTAGAATAATTTTAGTAGAACTTGAACAGCAAAATGAAAAAGTACATAAACAGTTCAATAGAAGAATGTGACCAATTAAGCTGATTTGTTTTGCCTTGGGGAGAAGTTAAATAAAGATGTGTAGACCACAACAATCTCTTCAAGTTCAGCCTCAAACCCCTGGGATGTCGTTGTCTCTTTAGTCTTCTAGGAAAGCAGTCACTTCCCACTACCGCCCTCCACATCCCATTAATGGTCTGAGCTGTGGACTTTAGGGGGCATTCTCATGTTTCCACATTTTCTTTGCATTTAAATAAACCCTTTCCAGATGCCTGAGATGATCCACACCAGATTTTATTATAAGGGAGTTGCTTAAAACAAGCTGCCTCACAGCATCTTTCCATTCTCATGTATTTGCATTTGCACAGCTTGCATTTCTGACACAATATATCTGCCAGCATGAAAGTAGATCTGTATGTGGGTGTATGCCTATGCACAGTATAGATGCTACAGATTTTCAGCCAAAGCATTTTAATAAATGCAGTTATTCTGAGGACTAAACCTCAAGCTGCACTGCTGATTTTTAGCCTGATAAGCCCATTTTTTGTCATCACAAATCAAAACCCAAAGGTCACGCTTAAAAAACACATGGACATCCATGCCTGGGGCAGCAGGAGCTGAGACTCCTGAGTGTACAAGGAGTGTACATGCTTATCCCTGGACTCAGGGAATGCACCTGCTGCAGCATCCAAAGGGCTTTTCAGGCAAACAAACAAGCTGAAAAGACTTTTCAGACTTTGAGTAATACTGGAAAGGGCAATGGGAGAAGCATTAGAAGCTGAAAAGACCTGGACTTTTCAGACTTTGAGTAATACTAGAAAAGGCAATGGGAGAAGCAGATGTCTGGCCTTACCTCTTCTGGCCTGCTCAGGGCATGTCCCTCAGGTCCAGTGATTCCCATCTCCAGAATACGCTTTTGTTCCTGCAATGTAAGAGATAACTGCTGACCCAGCTCCAGGATGAGCCCCGTGCACCCAGCATCCTCGGGGAGATGAAGAGCCGCACGGTCTGACTGCCCCTTTCAGCATCAGTGTACATGCAGCTGCAAAGTTCACTGGACACTGAAAACACTGGCTCTAAACTGGTCCCATGCCACACCAGCACAGCCAGCAGTGCTCTCTGTTGTGTGACTGAGCACATTTGTGCCCCAAGCCATTGGGCTGCACCATCAGAAACTTCCTCTGCCCTCCAGAAAGTCCTACTTGACACCATGACACCAGCCCAGGGACTGGACTTCAACCAATACACTAAATGGTAATTATGGGTACTTCCAGCCTGCCATTCCCTATTTACTAGCTCAAGTTCCTCTCTGGTGGCAATCCACAAAGCACTTTCTTAAACCTTCAGCATTGCTGACACTTTCAGTTTTCTGTAACGCTTTCTTCTTATACAGGGAATCACTAAAATTACGCTTTTATGAAATAGAACAGTGTCATCCAGTTGCAAGGGCACTGTGTCCTCATCAAAGACCCCATCTCAGGAACAATGGGGGTTTGTCAGGAGGAAAAACTGTGCTATCCAGCTTCGTAGCAGTGAGATCATTTTTTTAAAAACAGAAAGACTTCACTCAATTTAAGGCCAAGCTGTGTTATTGAAATAACTCTTTGCAGAAACTGGTGGTCAACCCCTTTTCATCAGAGGTCTGGCCCTGGCCTGCCCTGCCTTGGCCTGTCCACAGGGCTCTAATGAGCCCAGCTCAATGATGTAATGGCTCTGTGACACAGAGAAATGTCCCCTAGAGACCAAGATGAAGTTACTGAACATATTTGAATGTGCAAGCTAATAAATATCTGATGCCAGGTCCCTAAGGGTGAAAAGCTCACACATTACCAACATACTCCAGTAAAACTGAAAAAGTTAACATTCATATATACTTTAGCCTTTGCTGCAATCCATCATTAATCTGACTGTGTAAGAACATTTTGGTTAGAAAAACATAAGGTTTCATAGGTATTATTAAAAACAGCTGTTCTGGGTCATTAATGCACCGGCTCTGAACAGTGCCAGTTAAAGACTTCAGATAATTAAAATTCAGCAATAAAATCAAGTTACAGCCATGTAAAAAAATAGCATGTTGGCATAGAATAGATACACAAAGGAGGACAGATTTGCATCTTGAAGGAAGTAATAAAATCAGATCATATGATAAATTGCCCTCTGTAAGAGGACTTGATAGTGCTAATTAACTAGAATATATGTTTGACAAGATCTGTGAAAATTTGTATTTTCACACAGGATGGTCCTAAAAAATCCATGTGCAGGCAGCTTTCTTTTAATTATCTAAATAATTCTTCTACATAAAAGCACATGGCAATGGTGAACAACTAAGTTGATGCATAACATAACTTACATTTATTTACTACTTCCTCTTTACCTAATAATTTTTCTGTCCTGTTTGTTCATATTCGAGGCTGTATATTAAGGCTCATCAGAGAAAAATGTAACTGAAACAGATTTCTATCAAATAGGCAATTTCATGAGTGTGCCTTGATTTTAATGGGCCATGTATCAAAACACCACAGATTCCATTTGATTTGTTTTACTTTGCCATTCCTACAGTAATATTGACTTAATCATGCTTATTAATAGTCATTTTCATTCTTCTAGATATTTCATGTTGTATTAAAACTATAAATTATGTATTTAGTGGTTTTTATTAATGCTAAACTTCATGAGAAATCAGCTTTTTGCTCTCTTGAATTCAAATGAGAGTTGTCACCTAGTTTCAGTGGGGGAAGGACACAACCACATTGTATGTGCCTGCTGATGCCTCACTAGTAACTTTTGACCCCAGTGGTTATTTTGGTCAAAGTTAAAATGAAAGGCAGATCTCAAAGGGGGTAATTTCTAACCAGGAAGATGGAGATGTGTTTTTCTCCAAGAGGAAAAAACAAAATACACCCAAGGCAAGAGTTCTTACACAATGCCAAACAACTCAAGCATTCCCTTAATGTTTTCCCTTAGACATGAGACAAGGTGGGTTGCCTTGTCCAGATCTCAAAGACAGCTTTAGCTGCTGTAATTTGCTTGTCGGCTCTGCAGCCCAGTCCTAGCAGATAAGCCAGCAGATAAGCAGCTCAGCAGATGAATCAGATGGCTCACTCAGAGCCTCACTGACCTAAGAGGGGCTCGATGCATGTAGGAGAGATCAGGCTAGTGAGAGATCTCTGCAACAGCCTTCAAAGATTCATCTGTCACAAATGTAGCATCAAAACAAAACCGACCCAAAGCTGCCCCTTCTGTTTCAGAGGGGGATCCTGGCCTCTGAAAGACCAGTGGGAGGTGTTCTATCAACTGCTGTCCTTGGGTTGCCTCTTTCCACGTTTCCATGTGTTGTGGTACTGATCAGAGCCATGGTACAGTCCAGTGGGAGGAGAGCAGCTGCCAGGGCACCTGACCTGCAAGGACTGCTCTGGAGATGCAGGGTGATTTAATGGAACATTCTGAACTTGAACCCAGCTTCCTGGTTCTGAGATGCATCATCTAAGAGCATGGATTATACTTAAACACACATTTATGAAATGTCTACAAGATCACAGTAGTTCTTATTCTCAACCTTCAGAGATTTATAAAAATATTCTCAAATAAAAAAAATAGGTGTGTGAGCTTAAATACCTGCTCCAAATTCACTGTGTTGCTTATGCTGATAGCTGCAGCAAAAGACTTGAGTATAAAGCTTTCAGATCCTCTTTTTGTACCCAAAATCTATGAAGAAGGCTTTACATTATTCTGGTTCACTTGTATCTTCTGGATTCAGAAGAAATCTTCTTGCTTCCTTCTGCCCTTCATATCTAGTCCTCATTTGCTGCCAAGGCAAGGAGCTACCTAGATCATTGCCCTATCTCGAGGATGCTCTGCCAATTAATGCAAAAGGACCCCCATTCTCTCATCCCAGGCTTTATACCAATGATGTGCATGGTATCAGGTTCATTTAAGGCTCTTTCCAGGGAGTTCCCTACTTCCTACCCATCCTCTGACTGGCCTATTTAACTTCTTCTCTCTTATAGCTGTCATCTCACAAAGCAAAGCAAGAACGATGGTTCACTCACCTGAGCTATCAAGTCTCCATTTTCAGCATGGACCAGGATAACAGCCCCAAGACTCTTTAGAAATGTAAAGGCTTCATAAAGCTGCAGGTAGTACAAAGAAGGAAACACTGCTGAATAAGGAAAACACATTACTTAATACTCAGACCTCTCTCTTCACCTCAGTTTTGTACCTTCTATGCTGGTAATTATATTGGTGAATAGCAAATGAGCTCTTTACTACACAGAACCTGACTTCCCTGATGTGTTGACTTACCCACCCCTGTAAACACCAGCTGCACCAAGGCAGGGTCAACAGCCCCAGGCAGGGCTGGATTTCCCTGGGACAGAGTCTGCCCCAGGCCCTGCACTGCAGGGCCACCTCCCCATGCCCATGCAGGGCTAAGTTTAGCAGTTCTGTAGTTCTGTAGTTTTAGCAAATATAAAATAGAATTATTATCATGTACTACAGGCATTTTAGTATGGCTAGAAAATCTCTTCTGAAGCGCAGACATTTTGCACCATCTTCTTAGAGCTGTCATTCTTAAGCTTTCAGCAACATCTTTAATTCAGATATTAAAAGCTGCAATATTTTCTCTAGAGCATCCTTAGTTTTCTAATTGCTTTCTAAGATTCAACACCCATCCCTAAAGAAGGTCAGTAGCTGATCCTTTTGCTTTTACTGATAATTTCTGAGCACACATCTACTGAAACACAGTTTCCTTTCCAAAATCTATCCAGCTTATGTGTCCCTTTTTAAAATCAGACTTCAGTAACTGGGAGCTCAGTTTTCAAACACAGATTAAATATGGAAGACAAAGGTTCTTCAGTGTCTACTTTTGCACTAGGGCATGTCAGGCAGCATTGAATGGGCTGCAATATACAGCTTGCAAATGGACATTTAAAGAACATAACAACCATTAGTGCAGCCACACATTAAACATTTGATGTATTCCTCTTGGCAATTCCAACAGGGAGTTGAACTTAACAGGCACTGCTGTCAGAAAATATTTATAAATTATTATGTCCAAAATTCCAATTAAAATCACATGTATTGGAGGTGTAACAACAGTTATTTAAGAGACCAAGAGCTGTAGCTCTGGGAATAAGCAAGAAAGAAACATTTTATCAACTGAATAAGCAAACATTATTATTACTAACAGATGCCATTGTCCCTTTACAGTGGCCTGATATGTATGAATGGGAAAGCTGAAGAGTCTGGAATCTGTAATGAGCTCTGGACAAACAAGCTCATTGTTATCTCCAGCCCTAATGAGAAAAGGCCACCTCCCCCAAAGAGCAACCCCATTTAGCTGCTTACACAACCAAGAAACTCTTGAAACCTCAGAACTGCCACTGCCTCGAGTGCTTCATTTTTTTCTCCTTCTCTGACCTAGAGTCCTCGAAAGGTTACTGCAAAATAAAATGAGTGAAATTCTGAGCAGAGCTGAGTGGCTGCAATGTTGGGAGACACCAGAGGATCTCTACAGAAGGTGAAGGTCAGACACTTGAAGAAACACACACAGGTGTTCTGCACAGCTCAGAACTGACCCTCCAGAGAGTAAACCACCACTGCACATTTCTCCCAGTGCCAATCAGCCCAGTGAGAATGTTTCCCTGGGATTCAAACTCAGCAGCTCCTCAAGTGTTGGGAGATGAGAAAAGAGAGGACAGATCACAGCAAAGAAAAGCATTCAGAGCAATACCTGGCTGTCGGACATTTGGTAGAGATCTTTGTACGCCATGTAGACTTGGAAAGAGTTCACACCTGTTCCAAGACAAAATTCAAAGGTGTTGCCATTTAAGCATATTCTTAAATTGTATTTGAACAAAAACTTCATGAAAAGTAAGTAATAGAGTATGTCTGGATTAGGCTTTTCACTAGTGATTGCCAAAAATCAAGCACGGCTTCACAGCTACATTGGACTAAAAGCCTGGATGCCCTCTACTCTGGGGGAATTTTTTGGATGCTGTGGGTAGCCTGTGTCCATCCCTGGAGTAACTCAGCCACCATTGCAAAGAGGATTGCTTGTAGCCAAATCACAGACAAGCAGTGGTGACTAAAACAAGCATGTAAAGTTTGTGAAGTTTAAAAAAATCTTGTGTAAACTGTGATTTTTGGTAGATTAAACTTCTGGTTAGTTCCCCCAAAGTGCTGAGAAGGTGTAGAAAATGTGTATCTGAATGTGCACACAGACTTGCTTTTTCTTGACCTTACACTCCGAAGTGCTTAGCTTAGCTGATGGAGGAATGGAGACAAAGCCTGAAACCAGTTTTATAGGCAGCTCACCACACTTCTCCTGCCTTCCAAAGAAGGAAGGATTTATGCTGGCAGCCATAAAAAAACATGAAAGACAAGTTTCAAATTTCAGAAATCTGTAAGAAATGCTAGTGTTGAGTGTCAGTTGTCAACAACCCCCTATATTCAAATCCCCAAAAGTGTTGCTATTTATTTCAAATATTTGGTTTTTTACGTAGCTTTGTATTCTTACAGAATGAGACTTACAAATGTCTTCTGTTCATAATCTCTGTACTTATGAATTCATATTAGTGTATATATTTGTCTTACTTTCTAGTCTACTGGCAAGATCCTCAGTTTGGTCCAAGGACCAGAAACATAGTTTTCTAGCTTTAAAAAAAAGTAAATTCTAAGCTACCTAAGCTGTGTATGCTGCATTTCAAAATGGCTGTGATGAAAACTGTGCTTCCTAGGGCAAGAAGAAAATGTTCCTGTTATTCATTTTTGTCTACATGAATGAATAAAATGAATAAATCTCTCTGATGAAGATATAACCCCTTCATGAGTCTCGAATGAGCAAATACATCCTCAAGCACAGGGTATGATTGCCCACACACACACAGAATTCATTTATTTACAATTACAGGACTAAAATACCTCAGGATATATGCAAGATAAAACATTGAAATGATCCCTGGTATTATATCTCCCTGCTAAGTCCAGGCAGCTCAGAAGGAACACAAAGCAGGAGCTGGCCCCTCCTTGCTGACTTCCACGCTGAACAAATCCAGCCTGAAAGGTGGAACCCTGTCAGCCTGTAAGCCCATCCTTTCTTCCCATTTTCCTATTTATCATGTTCTCAGAAAACACACAAAGCCTTTACTACCTGTAATCCCTCCATCTACTCCTCATTGCAATTACATTTCAAAATACTGAGTACTTCCAGGGCCTTCCCTGACACCTGGCACACACTTCTCTGTGAGCCAAGGGCTGGGCTACCTTGCTCTCCTTGCTCCACCAGGCTCCAGCCAAAGGTAATTCATCCATCACAGTCCTGCAGGAGGTAAGGCAGCTTCCCCTGGCTGCCATGGGGGAACACACACCCTGACCCAAGTAATACATATTCTCATCCTTTCTCTTTTATTGCCTTGCTGTCCTCTTAGGCCCTCTTCTGACCTTGATAAAATGACTGAGTTTTGCTTTCACTCTGTTTAATGTTCTCCCTGAAATTAATGGGAGCAGAAGGTTCCCCAGTAGGGAACCTGCCATAGGATCTTGAGCCTGCTCCTTACCACAGTGCAGAAGCAGAGTTCTCCCATGTATACTCACATTCACACCCTCAGCTGCCACCAGATACACACAGAGAATTTCAGGGGCTGCCTTTACAGCTAATGGGAGAGAGGGTGTGAACAATCCTGCCTTGCAAAGAGAGCACCTACACCAGCTACCAAGATAAATAACAAAAATTTACATATACAGATATCCAAGATTATACTCCTTGCCCTGGCCTGGTTCCCTGACCTACTCATTGGAATTATGCAGCTTTTCAAAAGCCCTGGTCCATGGCCTATTGACCTGAATGCTTAACATCTGTTACACACTAGTTCTTGTTAATGTCCTACTTGCTCTAACACCAGGGGTACTCAACAGAATCCTCTCCAAATTTTAGGCAGGACTACAGTATACTCCTGAACTTTCTGAACAGTGACAAAGTCAAAGTAACCACTGAGGCCTCTGTAAGCAATTTTAGGCTCTTGCTCCTTTGCATATACTGAAGAAGCTCAATCCTAAAATAGCTGCTGAAATTATGCCAGTCTGAGTGTTTATAATCAATATTTGGCTCTACAAAATCTTCAGGCACTTCCAAAGCCTGTGTCTCTTTAAATTAGCCTTGTATTGATTTAAAACTGATTAATTGTTCAATTATACCTCACAACAAGGCACCTCAACAGCCACTCTGTAAGCTCCCCTGTCACTCATGCTGATTGCATTAGGCACATGTAGCTCTGAAACACAATGAGCTGAGCCCTGTCACTCAGCTCACTCACCCACAATCAGCCAAGAACCAATTCAATCCAGATTCCCAGCTGATGAAAACCAGGGTCACTCCACTGACATCAAGTTTATTTGCACCAGCTGGCTTAAATGTTTCCAATTATCAGGAAATATTACCCATTAATTTGAAAGCCCTTGCCATGCTGAATTATTTCCTATTGTGCTTGTGAGTTCATACTCACCCTTACCTTGTGTCTCCAACACGTGAGAGTAACTCACACTGCCTGCCTGAGACATACATGAGAACAAAGGTGACCTCCTAATGCTCTCACCACTGAAGAGGCCACCAAGGCTCCATCATAAATCTCATTTCAGGAACCAATTAACAGATTTCTGCTTCCCCTGATGACTCAAAGGCAGGTCAGATTTACACAGAAAACTCAGATTTCAATAGTTGGAGAAAACTATTAACCTAACTGCACCAGACTTTTAATGTAAACCCTTGGGCAAATTTGGGAGTGCTGAGCCATCTGTAGTCAGGGAGCTCTGGAAAGTAATATCCAACCTTTGAAACAAGGCACAATATACTTGTCTTGGGAAGTACAGTCAGCTAATGCACAGCAGCAGATTCATGTTAATGCTGATATCAGGGAAACAGCACATATTTAGCACAGACTGTGTTGACAGATGTCATCACCTTGTAAAAATCACCTATAATAGAGACCTATGTAAGACCAGCTGCAGTTTCTCTAATTATGTGCAGTCTTGCTGATGGAAGTGTTTCATTGCCTAAAATCTGGTTATACAGCACATGTACTGTTAGCATCCTGTGACATGGAATAAACTCCCCCAGGTGACTGCACTTCCATGGCATTTCAGCAAACAACTGCTCACTCAAAAAAAGCATTTTGCTTTTTTTTCCTACTTTGATAGTTCTCTTTCTCTATAAAGAGAACTTTTCACATCTAAGTCAATACTAGCTCTACACATTGCAAAAGATGCTGCATATACCTATCACTTAGTTTCCCAACAGAAGAGTCATTCTGATTTGCCCATGGAAATTGCATGCCATGTCAGAAAATGCTCCCTAATTAATATCCACACATTTTAAAATAAAGTAGAAAATTAAAAATATGTGAAAATATATGATTCTGAAAAGGAAATACAAGCTGTCAGGCACAATTTCAAGGAACAAGATCTAAGTTAGGATCTTCTGAAGGCTAGATCCCATTGCCTACACAGAGGAATTTGGTGCCACAAAGATGCTCTCCTTACATGAAACTGCCACATTGAGCCTGCATGTGTGAAATGTATTTAGGAGAGGTTTCATCTGTGCTGATCTGAATTGGTAGCTGGAGTCCAGGTAAGATAACCTACAGCATCTCACATGATAGTAGGCCTGTTAACTGAACACAAATCCACAGAACATGGCATCTTCTAGTAACTTCAGGGACAGCCAGCAGAGAGAAGCGCTTGAGAAAATCATAGCATTTTTCAATATTATACACCTAACTTTAGCATCTCTTTTTCTAATAACTGGAAACTGTTTTAAAAATATAGACATATTTTATTTACAAAATCAAGTCTCAGCAAGTAAATTATTACAAGTCACTGGTGCAAAATGAGATCTAGCCTGTAGTGTGACATTTTCACAGCCCCACGTGCTCTTCATATTTGGATTTAATTTGAGGCAGCTGAATCAAAGCTTTCAGTCCAGTTAAAACCTGAACTACTATTTTGAACTTTCTTCATTCATTAAATAGAGGATCTAAGATGACTGGGGTGATTATCCTAAATACTGATCTTTGAGTTCTACCTTTGAAAAAAACCTACCAATGCAATGTCTGAGTCTATTTCCACAAGCAAGGATAAAGTGATAATTTTTTTTATTACAGTGTAAGCATCTTAATCTTCCATGTCTATACTGGACAAAGTCATAAATATGCACAAAGTTGTAGGTCCATTTTACACAGCAGAAAGTGAAAATACAGGTTCAAGGTAGTGAAGAACCTTAGCCAGCATAGCCAGTGCCTATGCATTCATTAAAATACTTCAAAATTTCACCTACATATGATATTTAAATAAAACAAAAAAATATTACTACATTTCACTCACTAACCTTTGTCTTGCACGAGTACTTCCAGCTCTTCTCGAATCCCATCATACCAGCTGGTTATGTCCACATGGAGAGCATAATCACAACAGGATTTGGTATCAGCTGCCTCATGCCACTTCTCAAAGGAGGTCAGTAAACTAGATCCAGGTTCTGGAAGCACATGATCAACTGAAAAAGAGATGGAGTGTCTGTTAGCAGGACAGTATGCAACTTTCAGATTTCCACAGACTGAGCAGCCCTCCAGTGCCTCAGCCAGAACAGCAGCCTTGGAGGCAGTCTGTGTGCTGGCTGTAACTCTGGGGGGTCAGCCAGGTCCTGCTGCCCCAGGTGCAGCAGACTTTGTGAAGATGAGTCTGGCAACCTGCTTGGTGCAGCATCAATAGACACACAAAGGGGGAGCCAAACACCTCACAGTTTAGGAAACATTTGTATTTCCCCTTACAGTATTGTAATAGACCATAGGTTCTGGCCTTCACTGAAGTTCTTGTCTAATGTGTCCATTTCTATGTATTTCACAGTAAGCACAACAATTAACCAGTGCCTCACAGTCACAGAACTGGCCACTCTGCCCTACCAACACATCAGTGCATATGTTCAATGTTTTCTCAGCAGCCAAAACTGGGAATACAGCCAAAGGTTTGAACTGGGGTGACACTGAGCACAAACACTTTCACACTATACAATCCACTGAATGCCCTGCCTCTCCCCTGCCTCAAGGCTTTCTGCTTCTGATGATGCCACACCATCCACTGACATAAAGACTTGACTACTTATGCATAGGTACTTCTCTCTTCAGGGCTACTTCGTTTGAAAATAAATCAAGATGGGCTTACCAGTGCCCTTTGCAAGCCTAACTCTGCACAGGAATACTCAACTGAAGAACACACACTGGAAAAAAACTATTAACAAAAGGAATGAACAGCAGTGCATTTTGTGCCTATGGCCAAAGAGTCTTTCAGATGATGCCTGCTGCTGAATAAATATGGGTGACAGGTAACCCCCCCAAAAAAAAAAAACCAAAAAAACCCAACACATCCCAATTCAGTGTGAGTAAAACTCCACTGGGAAAATCCTGTCCACAAGGAAGCTAAGACAATTTATGGCACCTGAACAATTGCCTCACAACATCTAACCAAAGCCAAGTCACAGCCAGAAAGAAAGAAATAAATCTTGTCCCACCATCTGTAGACAGAAGAAGAGTGTTTAACAAGTTGAAATACTTCTTCTTTTCACCAACAAAGATGTTCCTCTGCGACACTTCTGTTAAGGTCTTCCTCAATTCCTGCTGCCAAATCCAAGTTCATAAATAAGCAAATCTTGTTATTTCCAAAACTCTTGAAATGGCAGTAGGAGGGAACAGCAGGTCTTTGTCAGATTTTCTGTGCCACATACTTACAGTGCTACCTACACTGCTTTCCAAAAATCCCAAGATTACGTACATTATCCCTCAGTGCTTATTCTTTATTTCAGAGCAAAGACAATTCTGCGCGCTGGTATTTCTTTCCGAGGGTAGGTTCATTTTCAGGCCAACCCTGGTTAACAAGGATGAATGGATCTCAAACACAGTGCCCAGAAATTTGAATATTCATTGCAGAAGATCTCAGAAAGTCAGAATGAAGCCTCTGGTAGCTATCCCCACACAGATATAGCTCTGCTGGTACTCACTGATCATGGTGGTGCCCCCTGCTAGTGCTGCTTTTGTGCCTTGATAGAAGTCATCAACAGCAGTCATCCCTTGGTAGGGCTTTTGTAGATAAGTGTTGACATCTATGCCCCCAGGAATAACCATGCGCCCATTCGCCTCTATGGTCTTGACTCCTCCAGGAACAATCAGATTCTCTCCTATTTGCCTGCACAGCAAGGAAAGCCAGTATTACTTTATTGGAGCAAACACAGAGGACAAAGCTATTTAAGGCATGCATGGAGAGGGAGCCTGTGCCCATACAGCAGGAGGTGGGTCCCCAAAGGCAATGTGAAGCTCAAGCTCACGCTGCCTCTGTCCTGCCCAGCACAGCAGAACAAAGCAGAGGAGAGCTGCCTCGCTGAGCCATGAGCTCTGTTTGCTTTGCATGGCTCTAGTGGCCAATAAAGGAGTTGTAATGCATCAGCATTAAAAATTGATTATTTTTTCTATGATTTCTATCTTTAAACAATTCAAATTATGTACACTTAATGCTCTCTTGGGGGCTCCAGTTTCATATATTAAGTTCTTAAATGAAAATAGGAAAACATAGATCAAATATGGGAGCAAGCTGAAATTGTAAAAATATATGGCAGAAGCAAAGGCATATCAGAAAATGTTACAATTACTTTGTCATCATGCAATGCAAATTTATCCTTAAAAAGAAATCTAAATAACCTAAGATACAGAAATACATATCTAAGAGACCTAAACATGTTTAATCTACCATGTCCCATATTCTTCATCCTCCTTTTGAAGTTAAAAGTCAGTGAAACATTCTGCATAACTGTGTAGAAAAATTAGAATTAGCTGTTGCCATCTTTTTCCCTTCAGGTCTTCAAAGCAGGATTTTTTTTTTTCACTATTAAAAATATTAATCTGTCCCCCATACCAATATCAAACTCCAGATACTTATGATCAAAATACTTTTATTATTTATAGACTCAGCTACAAAGAAATTAAACTTTAACTTTTAAAGACACACTACATTTTATCATCTACTTTGCATGGCGCCAAACAGGGGGAGGTATGGGCCTGTGTGGAAGCCATGTCTCTGCACTGCTGCACCTCAATGTATTTGGGCTTAGAGGTAACTGTAAGGTAGTTAAAGTTCACTTAGTTTATCTCATGTTACAGACACAGAGTCCTTGTCCTAATTTTTTTTTTTTCTGGATAAAATAACATTTATCCACAGCTAAATAAATACCACAGACATCTGAGCTGCTGAATCTGTTTCCCATATTAAAATGCAACTTCCACCTACAGTTCACAACACAGCAACTGATTAACAGCCAACTGTGATAAGGTAGATCCAGAAGTGAATATAACTATTCATTAAAACCAGTGAGAAAATAAGAAAAACAGGGATAATTATCCACATTGGAATCTGGCCAAACTAGCAGAGTTAATAAATAGCCCCAAGAGGTCAAGAATCTGTTTCATTTGCTATGCAAAAATATCCCCTCCAGCAGCTCATTTCCCCTGGTACCCTGGGCTCTGGCTGGAGGGAAGCACAGCCATTCCCTGGGCAAACTCCTCATGGGCATCCCAGGATGGGGTCACAGCACTGAACAAATCCAGGAGGGCTTCCTCATGAGAGCTGGCACCTCCACGTCTGGCACCTAATGGCCATCAGCATGGGCAGCACTGTCACAACCTGTGTGCAGCTGTGCAGTGTGAACAGCACCCTGACAAACAGGGAACCAGCCTGGGTGCAAAACCAGCAGCTGCCCAGCACATGCAATTGCACAAACAAAAGCTGCAAGCAGCTCCTCTGTTTTAAAAATGTTCCTCACAAAGGTGTATCATAAGGCACTGCACCCATGAGCAGATTCAATGCCTGCATAAAATTAGGCAGCCCATGTGTAGTAATGGTACTAATTGTCCTTAGTCAACTCTATCCCCAAGATTTTAATCAGACCAACCCTCCTCCTTTGTACAGCATTTATGTGGCTAAGAAATTGAACCAGGAAAAAAAATTAACTATGACCCGTCTCCTTTGAGTATGTCCAAGGAGTAACTGTACTTCAAGTACTAACACACCTTCTGAGAATAATACTAATATAAACCTTCACAAAAAAGCAATTAATTTTTATTTTCTTCCACGATCAGTATTCACCAGTTTCCTCTTCAAGAAGACACATGTCCTAACAAAGTGAAAGTGTGCTAACTATATATTGAAGTTTTTTGATGACTCAATGCTCGTCATTTCCAATGTATGATTGAGTAACATCTTACTCAGCTGAAGTCATCCATGTTGAAGTGACATGGGACCAAATGGCCTTTGTGGATGATGCTGCAGTACTATCTGTCAGAAACCTGTCTCATCGCTTGCCCTGGCATCAAGATTAAGGCAGGGAGAAGTCTGGTCTTCACTGGTGCTCAAGGTTATTTTTATTCTGTCCAAGTAGAACATAGAGTAGGAGATAATGTGACAGGGTTCCTGAATTGCTCATTCATTAATGCAAAGTGTATGTGAGTAAGATTGGAGTTCTATTACTTGTGGGTGAAAAAATACAACAGTGCATATAACTGCATTCTAGACACTGTACAAATGATTGAGCTGGTTTTCTCATATGTCAGCAACCACAAAACTCAGACCCAGAGAAAGCTGATGCTGTCTGCCATTTTCAGATGAACAAGTTGGTAAATTCTGTTGTACATGAGCTGATTAAAGCACAACAGAAATAGCAGGTTTTAGCCCTTCCTAAGCTTCATCCAAAGAAACTAAAAACCTCCCACAGAACTCCATGGTGGTGCTTTCTGCAGTTTTTAGACATCTGAGGCTCCCCCTAACCTGACTCATCAATTGCCCAGCTCTGGAGACCATACCCGCAGTCCCCTGCCCTGCCACTTGTTTGTTCCTCCAACCCTTTCCCTTGGCAGGGATGGAGCAAGCACCAGATCATGACCTGTCACTTGGCACAGGGCTCACTTCCTCATGGGATAACAAAGGCAGGAGAGATGTAGGCAAAATAAATTATTTATATGCCAATTTAAATTACCAAATATTTAAAATACTCTTTAGATACTGGAGAACTGCCTCTCAGCTGCCATCTGAGTGTGCAGGGCTTAAGTTTCAAGTAGGAAAAATCCACATGCACCGCTGCTCCTTGTACCTAGGGAGCCCATTTGAGCATTGATTGGCAGGAAGAAACATCGACCATCCTCCAAATTATAGCTGACCTTCAAACACACTCAAGGTTACATCTGCTTTGCTCTCTGCAGAATGATCTGCATTAAAAGCATTAAAAGACCCAAATCTTTTCATTAGGCTGCAAGAAAAACTCAACCCTCTCTTTTCCAATCAGTTTTCATTTCAGAGTGAGAAAAATAACCCAGATCTTTTATAGCCTGGTAAAACCAGGACACTATTGCCTATTCTGGGCTGAGTGGTTTGGTGTCTGCTCCATTCTGTATTAGAATTCTGTATTATCAGCAGGATCTGCAGCTGGAAAGTTCTAGCATCAACGGAATTGCGGATGACTGAGTTTCAAGGTCCAGCTCCAAACAAGCTCAAGCTACATTTAACAATTATTTTAATTATTCAGACACAATGGGCAGTTCCACCTGAAGAAACCAAGAAATCAAACAAACCCAGAGCTTTCTTAGGTTGCAGAATTTATAATCTGAACACAGTAAGGACCCAACCCCATCCCACAGCAGGCTGCCCTCACAAATTATTTCAGAGCAGGACTTCTTGTACAGTTTACAAAGAAAAATCTTGGGTCATCTAAATATAGGGAGCCAGGCATATTTCAGGGTGCTAAATAGAGAACTTGCCTCCTTGGGCAAAGATAAATGCTTCTTAATAATTAAGATCTTGCCTGTCTGTTCATTATTAACCCTAATTAGCTTGGGTAGCTGAGGTTTTTCCTGGATGTCCGGATCCACACATGGATTTCAGAGGGAGTCTATGTACTTAATAAGGGCAGGTGAAAGATTGGCATTGCTAACCTGCCTACTAACTGCCATTGCATTTCTGGAATCTAAGCCAAAAATTCACAGCAGTCTGAGGCTCTCAGCATCTCATGCATTTAGTTGTTTAAATAGTTTTAATGCTTACAAGTGTTAACAGAAGTTTTGTACCTCAACTAACAAAACCCCAGAAAAACTCAACAAAAACACCCATCAAAGAGAGTACAACTTGGTTAACTATTGCTTTAAAAATAGGTATGTGTTCAAAATGTTGTGTCTTCTCCACTTTTGCCACTTCTGCAATGCAATTAACACTAGAAATGGAAAGGCAGACTGAAGTATTAAAAAGAAAACTGCATAGTCCATGGATGAAACTGTTCAGATTTTTTTCTTTTATAATAACCTGAATCGTAGTAACATAAGCAGTCACAGATATGTAAAAAATTGGATTTTTAATCTGATGTTATTTTCTTAAGGAGCTCTGAAAACAAGTAGGCAATTAATTATTTACTAGATAACCATAATTATGTTTCTGTGCATCAAATTATAGCCTCTGGAGACCAAGCTTCTTAGGTCACTAGTGAAAATGTTTAGCAATCATGAAAAAGGCTTTGATCCTTATGTACATCAGAGTGTTCATACACACTACATAACTTTGCAAACCTTAGAGACCCTCATCTCCACTAAGCCAAGGCAGGACCAGCAGAGCACACGGACATCTCTGTTACAGTTTCCCAGGCCATCAGTAACATGTATTTCAAGTTTTTCACCAACAAATACTTTCCCAGTTCCTGTATTTTATAGCCTGATACATCAGATCTTGCTTTCTAATTGTGTAACAATGCCCAACAACATTATAGGAACAGAACGTGCTGTGGTTCAGCATTAACCAACAGGCAACTGAGACATAGCAGGACCTCATTTGCACCATGCAACGTGGGGCATATTTCAGATTTCTGTGCCCTACAATCCTTAACAGCATGGCTGCAATTGCATTGACTAGGTACAGGGAGAAAGGCTGTAGAGAGCTTTCTGCCATTCACAGACTCAAAAGTTACACTGTCCTTAGCATTACTTCTTTTCTGGAGAGTGCCTATTTGCCTTAACTATTTCAGAAGAAGCTGTGATTGAACTGTTTGAAAAGCAAATATCTCCAATTTACAGCAAAGAAATTTTCTACTTATCTAATCTTAGTGACGATAAAATGGCAGAATTTAATAATTAAACACTCCTCAACTGCACTCTCACATTTAGAGGTAACTGAGATTCTGCCTACAAAAAATTTTAAGTCAGCACGATCAAGAAATCACAGTATCTATGCTAACATGCATGCAAAAAATCGGTATTTTATAAAACCAACTTTATAAGTCCATCTTCAAGGTACAGGTCTGCATAGAAGGAGTGGTCATCATTGATAATTCTTCCACCCTTAATGAGCAGTCGGTCACTCTGGAGGGAAAAAAAAGGGAAAATGTGGGTTTGTCAAAATAAGTAAATATAATAATGTATTTATGATAACAAATATGCTCATATTATAAAGAAATCCATTAATATCAAACACTATATAAAGGTGAGTTCATGTGGGTACACAGACAGTGGACAGGATAGTTTAATTGATAAGTTTCAGTGAATATTATAGTTTCATCCTATTTCAGGAGTTTCAGTTTATTCCTGACTTTTGGAACACAAGACCTCGTCATCACCACAGTTCATTTTGCTCAAAGCAGCAACCACTGCACATAGAAACACCTGAAATGCCACTACATCCCCCTTTTACCACCTCATTGCACAAGGGCCAAAAGGGAAAGAGAAGCCCCCAGAAGAATCTGCCCAACACTGCAGTGGCCAAGCTGAGCTCACTTGGTGCCCTTGGCATCTCTGGAAAAGTAAAAAAGCTTTGAGTGGGGAGGGACAAGGTCACAAGAGGCTGCTTAGCCCTGCCACTTAGAAATTCCTTACCAGGGAAGCTCCTTCAACACCAGCTCAGCAGGAGCCAAGGGACATGGCCCACAGCTCCTGTCTCCTGTACTGTGGCACAGACCCCCAGCTGAACAGGGTTTCTAGTGGGCATGAAGAATTAATTTAATCAACTGGTGATTTCTGCAGGGCAAAGGCTGTTGAACTGGGGACACTCTTTGCTGACACTGCCCATATGTCCTGTCTCATTCACTCCATGCATGAGAACAGAATGCAGCCTCCAAAGTTTGGCTCACCTGAAATATCATACAAACAGCTCAAAGACCCACCACCTCCTGGTATTTTATAAAGTGCCAGGAAGAAAACTTTTTTTTTCCAAGAAAGACTGTTCAAAATATCAAGTCTGCAAGAGTTACTGTTCACAACAACTGTCTGCTTATATTCTTCTCTATTCAAATGGTTATCTTCTGTTCTCAAAAACTACATTTTATAGAAAACAGATTTTATCAGTGGATATTCCAGAGAACCAGTACTTAAACTCTCTCATTGAAAAAGGCATACTGAAAATGCCAGCCCCCTACCACCTACCCAAAGACAGGGAAAGTCCATAATTTCAGTGCTCATCTGACTTTAGCAGGGGTAGTTAATCCTCCTCACAGCAGCTTGTATGGGCCTGTTTTGGATTTGTGCTGGAAACAGTGCTGATAGCACAAGGACGTTTTAGCTAGTGCTATGCAGAGCTTAGAGAGTGAATATCTCTTCTGCTCATCACCAGGGAAGAGGCTGGGTGAGCACAAGGAATTGGGAGGGGGGTAGCTGGGACAGACCCCAGCTGACCCAAGGGATATTCCATACCATAAGGCATCATGCTCAGCAATGAAAAGTCAGGGGGAGATTGATGGGGGGAGCAATGCCTCAGGACTAGCAGGGCATCAAGAGGGGGGTGGTAACCAATTGTATTGTGCATCACTTGTCCTTCTTTGGTTTTAATAACCTCTCTTTTTTATTTTCCTACCAATTGCATTATTATCATTACTATTATTACGATTATTTTATTTCCATTATCAAAGTGTTTTCATCTCAACCCACAAGTTTTTTCACTTTTACCCTTCCAATTCTCTCCCCATCCCACAGTGGGGTGGGGTGGGGTGGGGAAGAACTGAGCAAGTGGTTGTGTGAGGCTGAGCTGCCAGCTGGGGTTAAACCATGACAAGTACATAACACTTTTGGGAAGAATTTTGCCAAGCGACTGTGAATGCTGGAAAACTCTTAAAGCAGTCAGAACCATTTTTTCCTATTCATATATAAAAATAGCCATTTATTATAAATTATTTCCTTGGCTCACCAGACAATAACTCAGAATCTCCAGTTTGTCTATGTTTTATACTACTCAGTCCAGATTCAATTCCTGCTTTAATTACAGCATGACTCAGGTTTATAAACTATGAATGTCCCGAGTTCCCACTTTAGAAAGTAAACAAGTTGATATATTCTTAGTCTATAAAACCAGGACAACAAAACCAATAAATTTCTAAAAAAACTGTTCATTAAAAAGTGCTAAGGCAGAGCTAAGGGTGTTACAATGTAACCTCTGTAATACAATGCACATTTACTTTTTAGCTTGTACTTGAACAATTTTGCACGTTCGAAGTTTTTCTAGCCCCCTGTATCATTTTAGAAAAAGGACAAAGGGAGAAACAGACACTTTTAAGGGAGGAAGAAGTGGGGGAAAGGCATTTTAAATACAGTGCACAACAAAAGAGTATGTACACAGCAGGTCTGAAGCTCTTCTCCACATGCAGAGCAACATGACCTTGGCGGGGAACCAAGGCACAGAACTATGCTGACATCTGTCCCCAGGACCTGCCTCAGACACTGTTACCCTCTCATTGGAGAACAGAGATGAATGCAAGTCCTCCATCTGGAATTTGCCAGAGCAGGCTCCCTGTTTTCTCCCCAGCCTCTCTACTGTCACTTGTAGTTGCAGCAGGACTTGTGACCTGGCAGTCAGAATAGTAGTAAGTTATTTTGCCACGTGCTGGCAGTTGCACCTCCTCACTATGATGATTTACTACACTGCCTGCTGACCTGCAGGGACCACCATCTTGTGAGCTCTTTTTAAGCTCATTCAGTTGCCTTCCTAAACATTAATACTGTTCAATTACAAGAAGCACAAGCTTACTAATGGAGGCAGGCAGTGTTCCCAGAGCACTGCATCTGTCACTGCTAAGGAGTGCAAAAATCAGCACCCTCACCAAGAAGTTCTACATTTCATTTCTTTTAAAACAGGAGAAGATGCATAATAAGTAGAAACAAATGTAACAGGCAAGGAAAATAAAACAGACTGAAAGCTGAAGCGCAGCTCCAGAAAAATAACTGTAGACATAAGGATTGTAAATGTTTTTACATATAGATATAAATATGTAAGTAAAAAAATTAGATATTAGAATAAGCTAATCTAAAAAAGATACACATGCAGTCTTAAGAAAAAACTCAATTACGGAGCTAGGCATTAAATTAGGCCTCATATCCTATAAAGGATTACTGAACTTTCAGCTACAAAGTCTCTCCTTGTTCAGAATTTTGGAGGGTGTAAGAAATTCTGGTACAGAATAAATAACCTGCACTTCATGGAGACTTTGAAAATTTTAATTCTTTACACGTCAGAAGAAAATACAAACAATTCATAATTGTTGCAAGAGCAGTCCTGCACCTGAGGCTAAGGTTCCCTCAGCTGGGTATCAGAAGTCATGGAAGACCAGGCTGCCAAAAAAACACACAACCCCGGGTAGAGTGCCAAGCCACTGGGGACAGTGCTGTGGAGCCTTGCCCAGGTTTCATCAGAATCTGAGAGTTGCAGAAGCATCTCTAGCATGCTTCCATTCCAGCGTATGAGCAAATTCAGAAGGAAAAGAGTTTTGTTGGAACATCTTCCAACCAGCTTGATCTGTGAAGTGTAGGACACGTTACAGATTGCTGCAAAGCAGAGCACCTTGAGACAGATGGTGTCGAAGGCACCAGCAGCCCAGGGGAGGTTTGGGTGCCCTGTGGACACCTCAGCAGCACACCAGCACTGCCTCAAACACCCTGCTCCAGACCAGGGCTGGCTTGTCCTTAGCCAAAGCAGCAGTACCCAATCCCTGAATGCACAGATCACAGAGATGCACTTGCATGAATAGGCTGGAAAAATGAAACAAAAATAAATTACTAGAAAGGAGGCACAGATTAATATTGACAAGCAATTGGTTGTATTCTTCATGAGACAAGATTTCATACAAATGGCTGGTTCATGTGCAGTATTCACTCCCTGCTACAGCCCAGTCACAGGTTCAGGGACAGCCACTGGAGCCTGGGTGATCCCGCACTGGTCCTTGCTGCAGTGAAATCCTGAACAGAAATCTGGGCACACGCAGGCTCTGTGAAGTGGCTTAGACTTCTTAGGTATGCAGAAGGCTGTGTGTGACCAGGGGCCATTTATTATTTACCAGGGGCATGATGTCAGGCAGACTGCTCGCAATTTTCTTACCAAGTGACAAATGTCCAGGTAAATTAGGGACCAGAGTCCTCTTCTCCTTGTTTCAGGCTGGAGGAGAGACACTCTCTGCAGTGCCCTGGGGAAAGCAGTGAGGGAAGGGAGGAGTGACCTGAAACTCCTGAACTAATCCCAGCAGAGCTGGCCTGTATTTCTCTTTCCCAGCTGTAATCTCCATGAGGAAGAACACCCAGCTCCCAGAGGTACCCTCAGCCAGTCACTTACCCTCATGTGCTCTCACAATGCAAACAGCAACAGGCTCATCACTCAGCTCAGGAGGTGACAGCACTGTCAGCCTTTCTAGGGTGGCTGCCACTTTTCTGTTCAGCTGACAGGTGCCTCAGGCACTGCTGCCCTGCCTGCTGAGCTCAAGGGCTCCATACCAAGCCTTCAGTGCATTGCCTGGCACAAGAAGCTGCCAGCCCAGCTCTTCCTGCTGCAAGCTAAAATAAGCTGCTCAGGCCCTCTCCTTCCTCCAGGCTGCCAAGGATAGGCTGTAGGAACATGGCAAAACAGAGAGGGAGTATTACATTGAACAGTTCATGGGATGCCAAGATGCAAGGGGTAAAAAACCCTGCTCTTACTGACCAGGGAGATGCAGAAAGCACACTGTAAATCCATGCTCTGCAGTCACTGCAGGGTGTGGGAGCCAAGGTGTTTCTTCTCCACCCTACACTATTGCAATGATGCAACTGCATTGCTGCAATGCTGTTTGCCTCGAGTTCTGTGCCCAGCCATGACACAGCATGAGCTCAGCCACGATGTGTATCTGCTGTGTCCCCTACAGCTCCATTTTACAGGCACTGGCACTTCTTGGCTCAGCCCGCTGCTGAGTATGATACAGCCATTCCTACTACTCCCAGCCCTTCACCTTCAAACTCTGCACACTGCTTCCCTGGGGATCTTTTCCTAATCACAGTCTAGCTTCTCCTGCTTAACCTGGCAGCAAAGCTGCAGAGCTTAGTCTGTGACATGACAGCAATTTTCATGGCAGCAGAAG